ATTCCAAAAAAGATTACTTTCATAAAAGGGGGTTTTTCAAAGGCGGAAAATCAAAAGGATGAAAATCCTTTAAGGGGGGGGGGGTTACCCCCCCCCCCCCCCCTATGGTATATATATATTTTTTACCAGATTGTAGAGGAAGTGAAACTGTATGTATCTTGAGATTTTTTCGGTAAACGGACCTACTTTCATGGAGTAACAGCTTTCGCAAGCTATATGCTTCTATAGACCCTCTATTACTATTGTATTTTGAAAAATTTTATTTCAGCAAAATTTCATAGTTGATGTTTTGGTATTTTGATTGAGTAAACCGAGTTGTATATACCCTGAAATTTTTTTGGATGATTGCAGGATCACTCGTAGAGAAAATGCAAATTTTTTATAAAAGTGGATTTTCACTGCAAAAAAGTCGGTTTTTGAAACCTTGCCTGCGATTTCAGGATTTTAACCCATTATAAGTTTTAAAATGTTATTATAGAAAGATGCGCCATAAAATTTTGCACATACTGAACGGATTAGAATCTTCATTTTGTGGTCATTTTCGGGAAAAAAAATTAATTTTCGAGCATGTCCTGAAATACAAAAAATGCAAAAAAATGCTTGAGGTCGTTTAAGGCACATTTTTTTAATTCAAATTTAATTTATGGTTCTTTGTTGTACACCATTCGATAGAGATTTAAATTAGCTACAAAACCATATATAAACTTATGAGAAAATATTATAGCATAGTATACTTAAGTAAGTGAATACTTCAGAAAATAACAAAAATCTGTTTACGCTAGTTGTTGTCAATACTAATTTTATAGAAATTGCTTTACAGAAATAAAATAATATTTATTCTTCAATCGCATATGCTTTCGAGAAGTAGACGTTTATCCATATGTTCGAAAAGTAAGGTTGAAAAGATGAGAAAAACTTGTCGTTTTGTATATATAACTGTTTGAATGATACAAAGTTGTCGCGTATGATCGTTTTCGCTATCCATGTGAAATTATTTATTTGTGATGTCTGTTTTGATCTTTCATTGGTCTCTCTTTTTGCGAGTGATATCGATAGATGTACGAATTTTCAATTTTCCATTATTCTTTTTATGAATACAGACCGTGCACTAGGCACATATATATACTCATATAAGAGAACTTGAGGCAGGAATGCTCGTAGTTCACAAATTGAAGATGTCCATATTATCAAGATGCTCTGTAGAACTTTTTTTATATAAAATTCTAGATTAATTTAGGAATGGACGACGACAATATGAGCTATGCTGGTAGTGAATCATCGTCAGTTGATGAAAACGCTGCCAATTTATCTCTACATATGAAGAATATAGAAGCTCCTTTTTCTGTACGATCGACATGCAAAATAGCAACGATAAAAGGTCACTTCGGAAAAAAGAAACGTAAACGTGTTTTTCCAGTCAAATCAAAAAACACAGATTTATTTGAAACACGATCATCCTTCAAACTTTCTTCATCACTAAAACAGTTAGTATGTAGGCAACGGCATTTTCTTTATTTGCTACTACGTATCTTTCTGTTGGTTTTTAATGTTTTTTCTACTCTATGTTTAGTGCAAATGAAGTACCAGTTATTGCAAGAACGTCACCAATCTTCGACATTCAACATTTTCAAAAATTTCTCAATGATGTACATGTGTGGGCTGAAGGCGGACGTTTAGAATTTATACCAGATATATCGCCATCGGTTGGATTATTTCACCAAAATGTTTTTCGTTGCACGAAGTGTTTAAAAGAGACACTTATGACAAATTTTCCACCATCACATCCAATCGAATCAATTCAATAAGAACCAAATAAACGTTTAAGTGTTGCTGCTGCTTTTACTGGAATCGGTTATGATGCAATAAATGCAGTTATGTCTTCACTATATTTATCGATTACATCAAAGAAGGCATTTTTACAACAGCTGCATAGACATTATGATTCATTACACGATTTTGCAAAAACACATTTTCAAAAGATTATTGATGATATAAAAGATAAAAATAATCAAAATAATGAAATACTCAACATCACTGTTTCATTAGATGGTACATGGAATCGCCGAGGCCATATTTCCAATTATGGAATAGTATTTTTGATTGATGTTCATACTGGATATTGCATCGACTATGAAGTAATGTCTTTAAATTGTGAAGCATGTAATATGAGAAAATCAACATTAACTAATACACAATTTGATAGATGGTATAAAAAACATAAGGCACATTGTTACAAAAACTACAGTGGAACGTCTAAATCAATGGAAAAAGAAGGTGCAGTGAGATTATTTCAACGTTCATTGATTAATGGTCTTCGTTATGAAAGAATGGTATGTGATGGTGATGGTGATGCTTCTGCATATGAAGCAATAAAAAACTATTATTTTGAACAACAGAAACAAATTGATACTCCAGAAGAGGAATCAATGGAAGAAGGAACAGATGAGGATGAAGATCTACAAGAAGTTTCAGGGGATTATGATACGTCATCAGTAACAAATGATGAAGAAGATGAAGAGTCAGGTGACGACGATACATCGTCAACAACAAGTAATGAAGAAGATGAAGAATCTCGTAATAATGATGCATCATCAACAACAAGTAGCGAAGAAAACAAAACCGACGATGATAATCAAACAGACGACAACAACAGTAGCAATAATCATTCAATAAGCGAAGACAACAATGATGAAGATGAAAATTTTCAACCTGCTCCTGATAATTTTGAAGATTTATTAGTTTTAAAAGAAGATTGTGTTAATCATGTTGGTAAACGTGTGATGAAGTATTTAATAAAATTAAAAAAAAGAGAAAACTCGTCGAGTTCCAACATCAACGTCAACCACAAAATTTGCATCGTCATTGTATTCTAAGAAACAGCCAGATACCCGGCGACAACTATTAGATGATAATCAAAAGTGGGGTGGCAAAAATGATCGTATGACACAATCTATGATGGAAAAGTTATCAAGTGCTTATGTTCTTGCTATTAGAAAAGCTGGTGAATTAGCTGCTGGTATGAAACAACTTATGTTGTCCATAAACCATGTTTTCATGCTAAAACTTGAAAGATCGTTTGTTTTCTGTTTTAGATAAAAAGTTAAATGAAGCATTGAATATTATGCAAAAGTCATGCCGAGCAGCATTTTATCACTATATCAAGACAGTCGATAATAATGAAGAACAACAACACCAATTTTGCCCGAAAACAGAAGATACTTGGTGTGCATATCATAAAAAAAAGTTAACACCAACCCGCAACGATGATAAAGCACAAAAAAAGAAAAACCAGGAATTTCTCGCTCCAATTTTTCGTAATGTTTTACAGCCAATGATTGATACACTTACGTCAAAAGAATTGTTGAGACGTTGTTTACATGGATTAACGCAAAACTCAAATGAATCATTAAACTCCATTGTTTGGTAGACATTTCTTTCATACTACTTTTCTCTTCGATATGTTAACTGAAGTAATTTCTCTACCTTTCGTTACAGGTCAATTTTGGCAAAATCAAAGCATCATGGCTTTCGATCCGTACGAGGTGGTGCTGCTCTCGCAGCAATATTTTTCAATAATGGTCGACGTTCATTAGTGGACTTTTGCAAACAATCTGGTATTGATGTTAATGTGGTACTATTCGAACATCGAATAGCCAAAGATGAAAAACGTTTACTAAGAGCACAAAAAATGTCTGAACAGCGGCAAAAACAAATACAACGAAAGATTATTGATAGACAACGTTCAATGAAAGCACAATTAGACACCAAAGACTATGATACTGGAGATTTCAATTTTTAACCTTAACGCTGTTTCCAAAAGAAAGCTGAAGTGAAATAATAGTTTCTTTCAAAAGGATTTTCCGTTTATTTAAGCGAAATCTTTAAACTAATAATTATCCAACTGCACTTAAATAATCCGATCATGGATGTATAACTAAGAAGAAATAAGGAATCTCATATCAAGGAGGATTGAAAAATAAATATTATTTTATTTCTGTAAAGCAATTTCTATAAAATTAGTATNAAATTCAGTTAACTGCACAACTACAGATGACTTATAAGTTTCTTGAATCTACTGTTCCCCTTATTGGAAATCATTCGGACGTTATTAACGCACTACAGACCTATGTTTCACTCTGACAAATGCAGCTCCAGCATTTATTTCCCTATCAAGCTCTTAGGCAAATTCTCCGATATGACCTTACTTTGGTCTTTTTAGCACTCCGCGATCTTCATACAATCGTATACAGTTTCATTTGTCAAGGTAATTTAACTTTTCATGCATAGTTTGGACCCTACTCCTGGGACATACTATTACTCAGCTGCTTTTTATCAACAGATAGATTCCATTCCCAACACACTCTATCCTACACCCAACCTTGCTGAAGTCTGGCGCCTGGTCATCACTAGTTTTTTTAAATCCCCAGACTCGACTCGCCTGCTTTCCTCCTTTACAAATTAATTAATACTCCCTTTCTTCATGAGAACGAAGCTCTCCGCTTAACTCAGACTCCTCTATAGTTCACTGTCGATCCCTCGAATTATATCACTGTCAAATAATACGATCAGGACGATCTTGGATATAACGTTCGATCGATGACAACTTGTTAGGATACTCCAACATTCCGCACCGTGTCAAATAATTCTTGTCTTGGACAAGTTTTGAACTGACTAATCCTATCCAAATGTTATATGGCACTCATTTCTCTTGTTTCTTTCTTTCTGCATGAACTCTATGATAATATCTGGGTCATGCCATCTCATTAACCGCTGCACGGTGTTATAATTAAAAAAACAGACCTCGGCACACTCTTCTATCACACATAGAGCCTCAACAAGTCGATCATTTTCCTACCAGTTACTCTTGTTAGTGTAACATCTGGTTCAACCATCGCTTGTCTAGGTTTCTTACTCAGAGGTCTTCCAACTGTTCAGTTTGCTCCATCCATAATTATTTTGTTTAACAATACCCTATTTCTCAACAATATCTCGATCCTTAATGTACATCGTCATATAATGAGCAATGACACCTGGCTTATTGCTAAACTTATCAAACGAGAATTAAAGGAAATCATGCAATTTATAGAACAAAGACCTTCTAATCCTACACTCTCTCCCATATCCTATGTACATATCATTAATTAGTATTCTTCTACGTGGTTCTGTATTAATTAATGCCACCGTCACTACTACCTGTTATATCCGTCGATGCTAGTCACAAATCCTGTTGCGCGATCTGCGTGTGGTTATGCCCCACTTTCAAGACGTGTGAGTGTCATCTAAATATTACCTGCTACCCTAAGTTCTCCAAAAGAAAGAAAAAAATCTGTATACATATATAGTTCTAACACACAATCATCTTTCCTTGCTGGAAATAGCATACATTTTCTTTCAACAACACGATTCCATATTCTTATCAATGTGGTATATTCTTAAAATTTTTCACAAATCTAATTTTCCTTCCTTTCCTTCCGTCGATAATACTCTTATGCTTGTTCGTGAGTGACTTTAGGATCATTTTTCATTTCATTTGCAACTTCAGACTGCTCTGGTCACCAATACCATTCTCTATTCTACTCTATTCTCAGCCTTTCTCCAGCGCAATAATATTGATCCTGATGATGTTATGCGTCTCACCTGACCCTTTGTCTGCCTCTACTCATTCACTTACGAATTATTATTTGAAACTCTTCTCTAAATGAATGAACCTACTTCATTCCAACCCAAAACTGTTTGATTAGTTCAATCGGCATGGATCCTATCTCCGATCTTAACTGCTACTCCACTCAACTGTTCATCTCCTCTGTCACGTCTTCCATCAATGGCGTTCAACCCTAAAGAAGATACCGCTCCCAATATATCAGTATCACACTCTTCACCGACAACCCCCCAACAAAAGTTGAGTGAAATACCCGATCGGCAATCCTCTCCTGAAGCAAAATCCAGACAAATACTTATGTCTTTACAACCTGATACCAACCGAACTCCATCTCGTAGTGCTTCTTCTGCTTCCATTCCTCTGATGTTTTTTTTTATGCTACTCTATGCCCAGCTATCACTCCTCGTCCAAACAACAACCTTCCTCACCCAAGCAACTTTATAGGAAATTCTATCGACCACGCTTATATAATACACTTTGCGGCCAGCCGCCAATGTCCCTAGTATCATTCCATCTAACAACTCCATCTCCAGAACACATGATCAATCATCAACACGCAGTCTAGCACCCGCCTGATTCATCTCTAACGTCCCTCAACACCGTCGATTCATTGATGCAATAACAGGCGACCGTTTCCTAGTCGAACCATGATTTATTAGCAACCGTTTTGACGCCTGTTTTCAATACTGAAATAATCGAATTATCGTGATTGAATTTATTTTTCACAGGAATGAACATTAGTCAAACCTTTTCTTTCTCTTCTCTTCTACTCATCGTATCTGTTGCCATCACAACTATTAGCATTAATACTCGCGCATGTTCATTTTTTTCTCGCTTCTATTTTTTGGTTTATCGCTACAATTATCTAATGTTGCTACGATTTCTCATCGCGAATATTTAATCGAGCATACTATAATTCACTTTTTCTTTTTACCTTGATCTATATTTGAGTGTTATTCGTAATTTCCTTATTATTCTCGTACTCAGATTAGTTTTTTTATCCGTTGTTGTTTTCTACATTGTTTCCTCCTCGTTTTGGTTATGTTCTCTATCTGCACTGATGCAAATGTACTCGCATCATGACGGAAAGATGTGTGACGGATTCTCACTGTCAGTACTCATCATGGTCATGTTCATATCTCCTGTACCTCTAATATATCTTACATTTCTTATATCCCCGATAATTCCTATATCTCTTATGTCTCC